CAGAGAGAGAGAGAGAGAGAAGGTGGGGGTGGGTGGGGGTTTCTGGAACCCAATTTAAAGTTTGTTGAGGAAGCATACGATCACGAGGATGACGGGCAAAGAGGTCAATGAATTTAACCTTTTTTTCAGTCTAGACCCAGTTTGATGCTTTTTCGATACAATTATTTCTATAATCGTATGCAAACAAGAGGTTGCACTAACACGATGGTCGTCTCAAGTCTCTGCGAACAATCAATGAGCTTTCTACTAGTGGTTGGCGAGGGCGCCACTACTGGGTCCCTTCTTTTTCCTCTCCTTCCACTGTTTCTGTCTATCTGTTTCACTTTTTTGTATTGTACGAAATGATCACGATGATACGAAGTGCCCTTCTTCTCTTAATATAAAAAGAAAGCCAAAAAAGGGCATTTCTTGAGATTAATGGTCGCTTATTGAATTGACACTCGTGAGGGTTGATGGAAAATGTGTATCCACGCCCCCTTCCCTTGTCTCTACCTATTTTTCGCATGTTTGTTTCGTTGCGGGTTGTTTTCGTTTTGGGTTGTTTTGGGTGGGTTTTTTAAATTTATTTCATTTCTTGTGGAATTATGCAGTAACACATGGAATTAAATTAATCGGTCATTTGGTGAAGCTGTTTGTTTTTCAAAGTACATGTTTTACGTCCCAATTGGCATAATTTAGAGGTGGGCTTCTACCTTGCCTGTCAGGGCCAGCTCGAACTGAAAGGGATACAACATGCCAGCTGAAGAAACGAGATACTCGGTAACAATTCGGGTCTCCTGAGTAAGACGGTGAAACCCTAAACCATTACAACACATAATATTATGCGTGTGCTCGATTCCCGATGCCGAGTGGGGAGATTTTTTATCGAGTAAATGTAAGTCGATCTTTCTGCAGGCTTGTTGTATTCTTCTCAGTCCGGGTGACCCTGACAAGCCTTGCCTCCTAAATGATCAACATTGTGTTGATTGCTGACTGGGATTGAAAAACATTTATATTACAAAAAAATAAAACAAAATAAACAAATATTGATGGTTGGCAGGTGCTCTGGTTTTGTTTTCTTCTTCTTTCATAATAAACATAACCTATTTGCGTTGCGAGTGCCGTAAAACCCTTTTCAACATTAAACTAAAATCAAACAAGACATAAAAACAGCGAAAAATAGAAGTTTGTACTCTTCCCAGCTGGCCAGAAGAGTGAAAGAGAAAAAGGTAGACTGAATTTTTAACATGGTCTTCTTGTGAGAGATAATTGCTCGTAAATAATTAGGCCAGGAGGAGTGGGACGAGGTGAAGGAAAGAGAGAGGGCGAGAGAGAGAGAAAGAGAGAGAGAGAGAGAGAGAGAGAGAGAGAGAGAGAGAGAGAGACAGACAGAGAGAGAGAGACAGACAGAGAGAGAGAGAAAAAGAGAAAGAGAGAGAGGCGGAGAGAGAAAAAGAACGACAGGGGGAGTGAGGGGGAGGAAGAGGGAGGAATGAG